AAAATCAAGGGAAAGACAACCAATGAGAGAAAGCCAAACATACATTAAACTGATTGTGTGTGTGTGTGTGTGTGTGTGTGTGTGTGTGTGTGTGTGTGATAATCACTATACACAGCTCCGCAAAAAAAACATGGCTGTGCAGGACTGTTCCGTCCGACTTCCACCGACTCATCAGGAGGATGAATCTGCGTTCCACTTGCACTCGTAGTACACTATACTACCGTCTTCACACAAATAGAACGCCTGGTCATTATCGCTGCATCTGGACGAAAAATGGCCCTAAATACGACTATAATGCCCGGGCGTTATATTCGGGTGAAGACGGGTTCTACATCCCGTGCGGGCCACAGCACTGACCATCAATATGTTTGCAACCATTTTTCTCTGACATAGCTTTGCCACAGATTCGCAACGAGGAATCTTTTTATTAAGTTTTTTTTTTTTATTATGGCAAGCCTATCCTTGGTTCTTTTAAAAACGTATGGAACGAGTGGCACCTACGCAGTTGCATGCACGGCACAAGTTTTGGGGGTTGGCCTACCTGAGCAAAATGGTTGGCATCGCCAGCGAAAAAAGTGTCGTGCCGGTTTGTTTTCTTTCGGCACACAGGTGTTTTCAGGCCTGGCAGGCAGAGGGCCGAAATACTGGCGGTTTGACGGTTCCGTCTAAGGATAGAAAAGCACTCCACTGGTTTAAACTACCAGAGTACTTCGCCCACATATGGGCCGCCAGGTGCGATGTTTTGAGTTCAATGGATTTGGACTGGAATCACCGGGCTTGTTCGGCCCTTAGTGGCACCACTAAGACCGCCAACTACGCAAATACTGGTGGTTCAAACCACCAGCACTCGGCCCAGCTATCCGCCGCAGAAAAAAGAAATAGAGTAGAAACGTTTCTAGTCGGAGGAACTTGGGCGCTCCTGTAGTGGCCCGTACGTTTCCTTAAATCGTGGCTTGTTTACAGACAGGCACGTCTTCAGGAAGTACTGGTGGTTTAAACTGGTTCCCTCGAGAATGGCAAAGCGCTCTGCTGGTTTAGACCATAGGTTAATCAAGCCACAGATGAAGGCTCGGGCTCCACTACACAGCATACTAAATGCATCTGGACCTGTTAGAGGTCTGATACATTCAAACTCTTCGAGCAGTCCAAATGTATCTGGTCTACTTTCCACTGCAGATACTTTTTCCGAATGTTGAGTACACAGTATACTAAATGGACCTCTTAGAGAATTCATTCAAACTGTTCAAGGAGTCGAAACGTATCTGGTCTACTTTCCAGTCCAGATACTTGTTGAATAGTTGAGTAGCAGAGCGAGGGCCAAACACGTTTATATGGGATAAGCACACAGGGTATGTTAGAAGGCAGAAGGACAACAGAGCAAGAAAGTGGTAGTGGTATAGACTGTTTTATCAGACTTGCATCAGACTTGCATCAGACTTGCATCAGACTTGCACCGACTCATCAGGGGGGTGAACCCTCGACAGTCTGCGGAATCCCCATATTGATGTTTGACTCATGATCCCCTTCAACCTCTTTTGTAAGTGGACGGCGAGCAGATTACATCACAAGCAGCGAGGCAAGGGTGAAGCAACAAGGCACTCGACGACAAGCAACAGTGAGGGAGAGAGGCTGGAGGGCATAGAGGACGAGGGTGGGCTATTGAACGACAAGGCACACACAGCAGGGCGGCACTATGAGCAGCAGGCAACAGAGCAACAAGGCCTCTGTTGTAAGTGGAAGGCCAGCTGAATCGCTGCTGATTACATCACAATCAGTGACTCGGAGGCAAGGGCGAAGCAACAAAGAGATCGGAAAACATGCAACAGCAAGCGAGAGAGGCTGGAGGGCATAAGGGAGGGGAGGGTGCGCTGCTGAGCGACAAGGCACGCAGCAGGGCAGCACTATGAGCAGCAGGGCGGCAAAGCGGCAAGGCCATCAAGGCAACAAACCAGCAAGGCAACAAGGGAGCAAGGTACAAAGAGCAGCAAGGCCCAAAGGGCAGCAAGGCAAGGACCAGCCAAGCAACAGGGCAGTGAGGCAACAACGCAGTGAAGCACAAAATAGGCAAACGGTTAAGTTCAGCAGTAGAGAGTGTTGAAATCCGAGGGGTAGGTAGCAAGGCAAGAAGGCAGCAGGGGAGCAAGAGAGTGAGGCTGAAGAGGACAAGGCAGCATGGCAGCAACACACGAGGGGTAGCACAACAAGGCAGAGTGCACTCATAAACCAAGGACGAAAGCAGAACACCTACTCACACCACAAGTAGAACAGAACAGACCGGAAGTTCACGCCACCCTTTGACGACCGGATAGGGATTCGATTCTGACGAATGTCTATCACCAACAGAAAGCACAGAGACACAGTCATCCCAAACACAACAGCCACCCTACTACCGTCTCCCCCCAACATAAGGCACCATGATAATAAATGATAAATGTATATACAATCTATATTTCCGGCCAGGTACAGCCAAAATGAAGACGGTAGTGTTACAGGCACTCCAAACACGGACACAGATTATTTGGCCCTTCAACGGCACCCAACTTGGCTACTTAGACACATACGGCCAAAGGCCAAACCATGCAGCAAGAACACGGAAAGAGCAACCCATGTGAATGTGTGTGTGTCTGTGTGTGTGTGTGTGTTCTAAATTATCACCACAACTTCCCCTATTCCACCCAGATAAGTAGATCCAAACTCTTAGCAATGTTACCTCTAGTGCAGACACTGAAGCATGCTTAAGATGAGACAATCTCTCTCTCTCTCTCTCTCTCTCTCTCTCTCTCTCTCTCTCTCTCTCTCTCTCTCTCTCTCTCTGTGTGTGTGTGTGTGTGNTCTCTCTCTCTCTCTCTCTCTCTCTCTCTCTCTCTCTCTCTCTCTCTCTCTCTCTCTCTCTCTCTGTGTGTGTGTGTGTGTGTGTGTTCGTGCGTCTGTTGTTATGTTCGCTATACACACAACTCCACAAAAAAGACAAGGCATGACTGTGCCACACTGTTTCGTCGCACTTTCACCGACTCATCGGGCAAACAATGCGCCTGTGAATATGTGTTTGTGTCTGTGTTTGTGTGTGTTTGTGTTTGTGTGTGTGTGTGTGTGTTTCTGTGTGTGTGTGTGTGTGTGTGTGTGTGTGTGTGTGTGTGTGTGTGAGAGAGAGAGAGAGAGAGAGAGCTCATGCTTAGTGATCGATCGATCTTCTTGCCTGGGGGGGAAAAAATGAAAGGCAGCGAGAAACATTGACAGTATTCCGTGTAAGGGCCAGACCCCAGTGGGAAAGCGGATTGGAATAAGCTCGTGAATGTGGACATGTTCGTGGAGATGTGCAGAAAATTGTGACTGATCTGCTTTTCTGCATGTCTGTGTGGAACACGCCCAGATTCAGCCACTTATTCCAATGCTCTTTGCCAGTGGGATCTGGCCATAAGAAGGTTCGAACTTTGAACTCTCAACTGGTCGGTTTATGTTTTCTGTCCATCAAACGAACGGACGGTTGAGGGTTCGAACCCTCAACCGTCCGTTCGTTTGATGGACAGAAAACATAAACCGACCAGTTGAGAGTTGAAACCTTCTCCGACGTGTTTGAAGCACAGTCGTTCAGCATCAGCACAGCAGCAGCACTACCGACAGCTGGCGAGTAAATCAGCATCAGGACAGCAGCAGCACTACCGACAGCTGGCGATAAATAGACATAGTCGTTATCTGATCCCTCAAAAGCATTTTCCCCGCGTGCTTTCTAGGCTTTCCTTTGTTATGATGGGAACCTTCTCTTCTCCACCCCCCTCTTTGCCGCGCTTATTCATCCACTTTTTACCCCCTTTAGCCCTCCTTAACCCCCCCCCCGGCGAACCACCCTGTGTCATTCTCCTGACCTTTCTTGTCCCCCCTTTTCCACTTATTCATCCACTTTTTGCCCCCTTTTACCCCTCCTTAACCCCCCCCCGGTGAACCACCCTGTGTTATTCTCCTGACCTTTCTTGTCGCCCCTTTTCTAGTCCCAGCTAAACCGGAGTAATCAAACGCCATAGCCAAACTTCGCTCGTCTGCCGATCAGTAAGGAGACAGGGGATATGGAGGAAACTCAAGTATCATCAACGGGTACACATACACGGAATACGTAACCTTTTTTCTTAAAAAAAAAAAAACAAAAAAAAAAAACAACAGCTAACTGGTCCGGGCAACAATCGAGTATTACTTTTAGACGGAAAAAAACCCAAAAAAAAAAAAAAAAAAAAAAAAAAAAGACAAAAGAATCGAGGAAAAAGGGGCAAATCCTCTGCTTGTTCTTTTTGTCCTTTTCTCCCTTTCCGTCTAGGGCATCCACGTGTACATCCACCATGTTCACTTGCGTCCATCGTATCCAACAGTCCTATTAATTAAGAGGAAGAAGAAGAACAAAAAAAAAAAGTGGAAGAAGACAACAAGAACGAGAGAGATGAGATGGATTTGCCCTCCATAGGCACCTACCTTCTCTCTCTCTCTCTCTCTCTCTTGTCGTCTTCTTCCACTTTCTTCTTTTTTCCGTCGTCTTCTTCCACTTAGTTAATTAATGATAGGCTTTTCCACTTATATCTGTTTTCCCTTCGAAAAATGAGTAAGGAGTCTATTCATTACCCCGAGTCGCGCACAGCGGGACACATAGAGATGGGTGGGGAGGAGAAGGAACAGAAAGACACAAAAAAAAGAAAAGATAAAAGAAACGAGAAGAGAGACAAAAAAGTAAGAAGACGCCCAAACATAAAACAAGAGCAAGACCAAGAGAGAGCAAGTGCATGAGAGAGAGAGAGAGAGAGAGAGAGAGAGAGAGAGAGAGAGAGAGAGAGAGAGAGAGAGAGAAGGGGCAAGGGGGGGAGGGGGGAGGAAACTAACAAAGCTCAGGGGTGAGAAGTCCGATTATTTTAACGGGGGAGACGATTATTTGAATTTTAATTTATTATTTATTTATTTATTTTGAGTTTTTGAGGCAGCCTTGAGAGTAAATGTGTTTGAGCCTCAGTTTTGGATGAATTTTCGGGGATAAAATTTTATTAAAAGTTTTAAAACAATAATTTTCGGACCTAAATTACTGAAACAACAATTGATTTCCATCATGAATGGTGAATTCGCTGAATGGCAAACCGTCTTCTTAGAAATTATGTGTTCTTTTCTGCTTCTGCTTCTGCTTCTGCTTCCACTAACGCTGAGACAAAAAAAAAAAAGGCTAACTACCACCAAAAAAAACAAAAAGGCTAACTAACATACATGCTAACGCTACGATCTTTTCAACTGAATTTCCTCACAACTAAAGCAATATACCTTATATATACCTCCAGAGAAAAATCTCTCTCTCTCTCTCTCTCTCTCTCTCTCTCTCTCTCTCTCTCTCTCTCTCTCTCTCTCTCAACACACAGACACAAACACACACACACGGATAAGCGAAAGCACTCTCGCTTATCCGTGAGCTCCATCACCTCCCTCTCCTTCCTTCCTTGTTAGGGTTGATTCTCCTTCTCCACTTCCGAGGAGATAGCCTTCACGAGCGATGGCGTGATTGGTTCGGCCACAACGGCGCCTCCCTTTCCCGTGCCATCCACATCCATCTCGAAGTTGCCTCTCTCGTTCATCTTCACCTGGACCAGTTGTGTTCTAATGAAGTCCGCCGCCTCGTTAGCTTCTGCGAGGAGTCTGTCGACCACCTGTACGTCTGCCACGTGGCGGCTTTTCTCAAATCCCGACCGGATCTCCCGCAAGGCTAGCCTCTGCGCAAGCTCATCGTTCGCGAAGGCCACTCGCTGCGCTCTGATCAACGTCCGGAATGCGGCTCGAACCGCTGTCACTCTCGACGCTGATGCCATCGCTACAGGATACCCACCTCTCTCTCTCTCTCTCTCTCCCAGCTCATGCCCTACACGACTCAACTGTTAGTTGTCTGAGGAAGCGAACTACCACGGAACGGACAAAGAGCCCTTTGGCGAGGCCCCAGCTAACCTCTATTCCGCCATTTGGACCCTGCCGTAGATTTCCGAGGGTCGACGGCCGAGATCACAATCGGGAAAAGCGGGACCTTGATCTTGGTCGGCCTCCCGTCCATCCTGTTTTTTTTTTCCTTTTTTTTTTTCCTTTTTTTTTTTCTTCCCCCCCCCGCCCCCGTTCCCGAGCAATGCCCCTCTGTTGTTCCAGGTAGGCAATTGGAAAAGGGAAAAAGGAATAATGTCCAAAAATACCCCCATAAGTTGAGATTGTGCCAAAATACCCCTGAAAAATCTGGGTAGAGAGGAATGCCCCTCTGACCAAAAAACCTATTTCGTGAAATGCCCCTCTAACCAAAAAAACTATTTCGTGAAATGCCCCTGGACCCCTCCATCCTTACAATATACACCTACCGGGTACCGTCCAACGTTGTAAAATGCCTCCGTTGTAAAAGGCCCGATTGCACAGTGTCCAGACCGAAAAGGTGAGGTCCAGATTGCAAGTTTGTACCCCGGCCTGACAGGGGCATAACACACAGACTTCGGCCCAACAAGGCGTTCTGCTCTACCCACATCTGTCAAGGCAATTTTGGCATACATGATACATCTCAACTTATGGGGGTATTTTGCAAATTATCCCAAAATTTGAAAAAAAAACTAGCCCATGTGGCTAAAAGCTGGACCTTATGCTGGACCCCATAGGCAGCAAAGCAAAGACGGTCGCCATAGCGACATGCGCGATGCCCTTGGTCCCCTTCTCTTCTTCCATGTTGTATCAACCATAGCTATGTGGCAGTGCTCCTTCGACTTTCGACATTAGGTTTGCCTCTGTGTTCTTGGAGGCACACCATGTTCACATGCATGTTGCTTCGTAGCCGAGTTCTTGGCAAGGGTAGATAGCTATATTGAGTCATAGATATATAGATAGATAGGTAGATAAATAGATAAATAGGTAGGTAGACATATAAATGTGGGTGGGGAGAGAGAGAGAGAGAGAGAGAGAGAGAGAGAGAGAGAGAGAGAGAGAGAGAGAGAGAGAGAGAGAGACATAAGTTAAAGGATAGTTACATAGACTATTGTGGGTTAGATGGACATAGAGATACAAATAAATATATTGATTATTCCGACCAATTTAATATTAGATTGGAATCTATAGATCGATAACTCATTCAGTGTTGGAACATAACGGTTTTAAGTTGATCCCCTTACACGTCCGCACAAGACAATTCTTATTGCGGGATCACTCAGTTCACCTTGGTACCATCATGAAGCTATTTCCCAAGTTTCCACGATCTTGAATTTAATTGAACTGTCTCTTGCGGAAGTACTTGATCAAACAATCCAGTACCTCGAGAAACTTCGTAGTAATAAAATAAATATGCACGGTCTAGATGAGAGAATTGAGATTCATGGTTCACTTATTGATTTTACCCTGACACTCACTCTGCTCGCCAGAGCAGACACTTCGCGTCCCCTCTTAAGGGAAAGTATTTTCATAACGGATGATCCCTCGAAGCCATAATTTGTTAATATACGATCTAAATTGGGGCCATTGAAAATAACTTTCGTTTATCAAAGTGCTTCAGATCTGTATTTTGTGATCAAGTGGGTAAACCACGTGCCAAATTGGTCTGTGTGAACTTGAATATTGCAAAGATTCTTTAAAAACTTTAAACCATATTCTAAAGAAATTGATAAACAATCACAAAAAAAAAAGCCTCAATTACCACTTCGTTCACTGGCCTTGAGTGTGTGATGGACTAACTAAAGTTTGTTGATTTAGGCTTTTTCCCGTTTGCTGGTTCACTTAGTTACCTATCTACCTATTTGTATCTCTCTATATGAGTTTATCGTTCCCACAACAGTATATGTAACTATCCACCAATCTCTCTCTCTCTCTCTCTCTCTCTCTCTCTCTCTCTCCATGTGCGTTTAACCAAGGACTCGTCGACATATGGTCATATGGGGAAGGACCAACATTCAACGGGGAAACTCATCGCAACTTGTGAAGAAGGTTTATGATGCGAACCGATAGGACGAGCAAAATCGGAATGAATCTTTCGTTAGAA